TGGCCAAATAAAAAATTAAAATGGGAAGAAAACACCATCATTCTCAACTGTTTAAAATATGAACAGAATCGGTATTACCAAACGCGAGAAAACAATTAAAATGTAAACAATTTCGAAAAATGTTAATAGCTTCCAAAGTAATTCGAATTTCGAAAAATTGTGAAACTTGTATTTTTCTTTTATCGTTGTGAAGCATAAACAGATAACTGCACAAAAAAAACTTGACCCTCGAAAAAATGGCGGCCCACTTCACAAATTTGTACTCTGGTTTCAGTGAAAAATTTCGTCGTTGGTTCTCATCACAGTGGAGTCTGCATTACACGAACGGTACAGATTAATTAATTTAAAAAAATTTATTAAAATACCGACTTGACTTTTTTGGACCACCCTAGTCTATAAAATTAAGGCATAAGTAAAAGAAAAGCCAGTGATCACGGCGTCATTACATTTATAACACACAAATTCCTGACAAAAAAATAAAAAATTCATTATGTTGCCAATTCTTTTGCATTATCTCAATTCGTACTTGAACGCTTAGCCGCTTCATTGTTCAGTCGTATATTATGCACTTGTACATACATACATAAACTCACATTTTACATTAGTATTTATGACTGCAACGATGTACACATGTCACAGTTGCACTTACATATGTTGCTGTTCATGTTTATGCAACATTGAATTTTCATTTTACGCCACACTAAATATGTATGTATCTACATAGTACATACATATGTAACTAGTTAGACGACCCAATGAAGACGGTAAGGTGAAAAAATTCAAAATAATTTGCAAAACAATGACTAACTGACGTTCACACACACAAACACAAGCAAACAGCCGCATACGAGTATCCCTTGCAACAATTCATAAGCCCATCCGGCCCTACACCACCCATCACACTGCGCCATGATGCACTCACTTCATTTATTAATTCGGATTTTATGTGGATGCTCTAACATGATTGGCAAAATGTCGTTAAGAATGTGCGGATAGACTTGCATTTGTTTGAGTAGCAACTATTTATGTACTACGATACCAACTACCGCTGACCCCGGCCGAAAGCGAACTGCTGCTGACATCCATCCCGCTTGTTCTTGTTGCTGCCAATATTTGTTATGCTGTTGCATTGACATTATTTTGTTGACTGTTGTCATTGCGATTAGTTGTTGTTAATTTTATTTTTGGTGATTGTCGTTGCTTTCTATACTACGAGAGCAGTTGTTGTTGCTTTCAGTTTGTTATTGTTGTTGCCGTCAGTGCAGTCACATGTATACGCTCGTTGCACACAATTACAGGCCAGAGGCCATCATTTGTTCTTCGTTTTCACTCAGCTAGTAGTGGCAAGCGAGTCGGCAAGCCATATCAACTCGGCAGCCCTTCCTTGCCGCTGACTGTGCACCACCGCTAATGCACCTCCTCCGCCCAGCGTCTCTGCACTTTGCAATGATATCATTTTGCTTTGCTCAATCGCAGCGATAAAATATCAAATTTCAGCGTTGAAAACTTGAATTGGTGCTGAGCAAAAATGTGTGTGTTGTGCAACAAAGGCTATATATGCAAAGACAAGCAGCAAATGCGAAACAAAACAAGCAGGCAACAACAATTACAAAACAACACACGCCTGTGACGAGCGGTGCGGTCAATAAACGTTCGAACAACACCCCCTCCCCACCACTCAAAAGACCCCCGAAAGACGACCGACCATACGACCGCCCGACCCAGAGGACCGGTAAACAGGCGGACCGACCGGTCGACCGTTTAAAAGCGCTGAGTGAACTGAACTTCAGCCAGCCATAATGATAATTCGATTTAGCCGACATGATATTGACAAGCAGACGAACAGCAACAGCCACAGCAACAGCAGCAGAAGCAGAAGCAACCCAAATGACAAGCGCAGGGCAGCAGCAAGTTGAGGTGAAATTGCTCGCAATAAAGTTGATCTGAACTGGGCTGTGAGTGAGTGTAGGGCATAGGAGTACTTGCAGTTCTACTGGCAAGTAAGTATGTAGTTAGCCAATCTCGCATGGCTGCCACAAGGAAGCCACAGAAAAGAAGTATGGCCTGCCTGGGCAGTTATTTGGTTGGCTTGCTTGTCACTTTGGCTGTGGCCGCTCTCCACAATGGCTGTTGTTTACGAGTGGCAACAACTTGCCGCTTCCTCTAATGGCATTGCTGCAACATGGCGATGTGCAAATCAGTTGTTGCCACAAATGTACACTGTGAGAAAAGTTGGCAATCAAATATCGCAACGACAAAGTTTTAAGGTAGGGTTGACAAGGAAAGTTTTATTAATAAATATAATAAAATATAATTTAAAATATAAAATTTTATTAATTAATACAAATAAAGTTTTAAAATTGGAACTTACTAACCTTTCCTAAACAACCTAACCTGAACGCATTGCGCGCATATTATTGCGCTATGCGAGGAATAAAGCAAACCTATTGATTGATCACCAATAAATTTGCCAGTCTGGCAGAGTGGTAGGTTTTCCACTTTTCCAAGTCTCGACTGAAGGACGCTGGCTTCCAACTTCGTATAGTGGAGATAAAAATCGAAAAGGATTGTGATGATTCAGAATTTACACTTTCTTATACTGGTGGTAACCGTTTCGTGGGAAATACTTGCCACAGAAGGGCCGCGGTTGTCGTTGACTTAAATTCACGAAAACCAAACTCACTCTCCGATAGCCCGTTTGGGGCCTAAAGAAATGTATACAGTCAGATGACAGTATTTGTTTGCGAACCTCTCGCAGCGTGTTATAGTTACTGATCGTCTCTCGCTAAATTCTTCCAATTCAGAAATGCATTAATCTTGAAAATAATGACGACGATCTGCTCGTGGATATTTAAAAAAATATATATTGGGTGTTCATCTGGCATGTATGCTTTTCGATTCTGAACTTTTGCAGACATGAAGCTCATCAATATGTCACAAGACAGCTGCAATGGCTTAAATGTAACCAATACCATTGATCCACTAGCTATTTCTTAAAACACCCGCTTGTTATGCTTTCTTCATCCTTATAAAAGGAGATCGCACCCTCTAAGTTATCTTTAAAATTTATTCCCAAACTTCTTCGTTCGCTAATTTTTATCTTATTCTTAATCTTAAACTTAAGCTTAGTCTTAATCTTAATCCTTATCATAATCTTAATCTTAATCCTGATCTTAATCCTAATCTTGATCTTAATCTGAATCTTAATCTTGAATGTTAACGTCAATTTTAATCTTAATCTTATTATTATTATTATTATTATTATTATTATTAGATATTATTATTATCATGAGCCTTGAGCATTGCGACCTCTAGGGTGGTCTATTGTACGTGGCCCTTTACCCTATACGTGAAGGCTTTTGATATACGCTAGCACTTCGGCGGGCTTTTTGTTCGAATGGATTAAGTAAGTATTATACCACCTAGGTGAGCGAGTTTGCGTCTAGCTAGAGAGCAACAGAGAGCAGGTGTGTTATGGCGTTTCTTCGTCCATCTCACAGAAGCGACAGACACTCGTGTACCCAGTGAGAATCCTAATGTCAATCTTAATCTAATTTTTTATCTTAGAATTAATCTTAATCCCAATGTTAATCGTAATCTGAATCTCAATCTTTATCTTAATCTTAATGTTAATATTAACCCTTTATCTTAATATTAATCTTAATCCTAATCTTAATCTTAACCTTAATCTGAATGCTAATCTTAATCCATATATAAATCTTAACCTTAATTTAGATCTTAATATGCATTAATCTTAATCGTATTCTTATTTTTAACTCTGTATTAACCTTAACCTTACCCTTAACCATAATTTTCACCTTCCTTATTTTTATTTTTATCTGTATCTCTTTATTTATCTTTATCTTCATCTTCCTTTCCATCGTCATCTTCCTCTTCGTATTCATCTTCTTCAATTGTCATCTCTTATCTTCACCTTCAGCTTCCACTAACCACTTATTCGCTATAGACATACATATCGCACACGATCTTCAAAAGTGGCACAACTCAAAATTTGTAATTTTTGAAACTATGCACTAAAATTGTACACAGAGCTTTTATTTACCTTTCAGCAAAAGCTGGAAAAAATCTTTGTTATAATTTGTTGAAAAAATCTAAGGCAAAGTCTTCCTTGGCCATACGATTAGCATGTGCTACGAAATAGTTTTTCGCATTTTCTCACGAACGTGTAATTTTGAGTTGTGTTTCTTTTGAAGACGGTGCGCGGTATGTATATATATATGCACTTACCTCACCGTGGCGTTAAATATTTTACTTAAAAAACTGGAACGTTATTTGGCATGCAACGTCATCAATAATGATATTCTAGAAAGGTATAAGGACCCACCGTTTAAAATGGTTTTAACTGTATGGGAATGAAGCTTCCACGAAGAGTTTCCAACTTAACCTAAGCTAACCTAACTAATTTAAACTGAGGTAGAAAGGAATGAGGAAGTTTAACTTTCTTCCTAAAAAAGGTAGGAACTTTTTTCAGTGTATCCCTGTAGGCAGCTACAAATGTATGTAGATACATTAATTCAAATATTAAGCGCTTGCATGCACATTTTAGCATTTGAGCCCTCAGAAACAAAGCGCCTCATAAACAACAAACCAACAACAATAAAAGCGGTAGACGTTGCCAAAGTCAAATGGCGACAACAAATGCAAAATCAACGTCAGCGAAGGAGACCGAAGCCGAAATCGACGACAACGTCGGTGGCAATTGTTGCGAGTGCTGTTGTTGCTGTTGTTTTTGTTGTTAGTTTATTGTCGCATTTTGTTGTTTTACACATGCATAAACAAGTTTGCATGTTGTCGGCCATTGTTGTAACAACAACAAGAACAAAAAAAAACAAAATGAGCAGCATTGTAACACTTGCGAGAGAACACATAAAAAAACAAGTGCACTTCTTGGCTGTTTAAATCTTAAAGCGCTTAGTCAAAAGCGACGGCAAAAATGCAAAATTTACAAACTCCATCCCAAAAGTTAAGTTTTTACTTACCAACGGCGAATAGAACGCCGAACTATCCACGCCAATGCTTTGATAAGGATTCTGATCTGTCGAAGGATAAGGCGTGCCATAGACGCCAACACTCGCCGCTGGCAAGCGAGAGTAGCTCGAGAGCGCCAAACGTGCGGAGTCATATTGACACGAACACACTGTCTGTCCAGAGACGGGATCTGTCATAATTGGGCGTCCATTCTCGCAACAGGAACCACCAACACCAGGTCCGCCGGCACCCAAGCCCGCCACACCAGCGCCATCGAGCGCGCCGCCACCGGTAGGATTGTTAATACCGCCACTACCGCCGCCGCCGCCACCGCCACCAGTTGTGTTATTGGAGTTTTGCGAGAGCGCATCTGGACTCATTGCGCCGCTGGGCACATCAGCGGAGCCGCCAGCTCCGGTGTTCACACGACATTCGCCGCCCACATTCGAGGGGCTGAGCGCTGGCGCATTCGCACCACCGGAAACTGGCATTGACGAGGGGTTGGGCGTATTTGGTGAGTCGCCAGTTTGGGGCGATTGTGTGAGGTTGGCGGATATGAGCTGGAAGAAAAGAAGAAAATGTCATTAAATATTTAGTTGAGGGAAATGCGTAACAATTAAATATTTCTGTAGTACAAATTGACAACAATAAGTACAATTAGTAAGTGGACTTATTTACAAGAAAGAACACAATTTACTCTCCTAATGAACAGAATAGCGGCTATCTGCGGCTTGAAAGACATGCGTATGCAGGTAAACTATTTTTCTTTTTTTGAAAAATAAATAAATGAGGGAAATCTTGATAGAAACGGCTTCCTCACTGATAAGCTTCTGAGTTACGATTATCGTTCTTCGTCGTTAATTCCATCGCCAGCACGAAAGCAAATCAAGTGATCGAACATTGGTTGTGTGTGTCCAAGCGTCACGTTGATCAACACGTTTACATTATAATCGCGTGTTAATTAAAAGCATCATCATAATTCTCATTTCGGACACCTACCTAATCGTACACTAGTGGTGAGGGAAATTACGAATTCAAATTGTTTTTGATTGGAACTATTTTATTGGAATGGGAATTGTTGTCTAATCAAGCAACAAAATGGTTGCGTAAAGGCAGGTGTGTACGAGTACATATGTATGTCTGTTCAAAATAAGATAAAATACATGGATATCTAAATACATACAGAGTACTATTGAGAGGTTAGCTAAGGTCGAGCACAAAAGACGACTCGGTTCCTATCAAATATGTAAATTATTAGCTGATCACTGCTTGAGAGAGATGTGTCTCATCAAAGTGGTATTTTGCACCTCTAACCACTCAGGCACAGCGGCCAACACGTATTATGAAGAAGATCAAAACTCTTCGAATTATGAGGGTTATCTGAACAAAGACCAAAGAAATCTCTTTGGAAAATTTCTTTTCGAAAGCCACAGATCGATAAATCCAGACCAACAGATCCTCTTATTTTGATATCGATGGCAAAACATTCCAATAGGCAAATGGTAAGCGGTGTTTTATGTAGAGCATTAAATGGAAAGCTGGGCTGTTTCCCTAACAGGAAAAAAGGTGTGCGCGTTTCCTTATACGGCCCTTTATAAATTACGTTTTTTCTCCACCAGGAATATATGCGGACAAAATATAGCACAATCAAATTTTTTAATATTTTTTTTGTCCCAGCTTGGAATTGGATTGGAATTGGAATTTTTGGTGGTCGGAAAATCCAAAAACATTTTTTTCCAAACACTAACGCATTATTGCCCATTGTACTTACGGCCTAGAGACTGGATTTGGAGGATTGGGATATATAGGTGGGGACGGGAATTGATTGCTGACGAAGGCCAGACAGCGGCAGAGAAAATGCTCTGTACCATCCTCATCTTCAAAACACGATTTATATAGTGGATCGTCAATCTATAATGACCCCAAATCGTCCCCATGGATTGGGAACCGTAATCACTCCTATCAGGGCTGAGATCCCTGATGTCCCCTATTGTTAACGCTATGCTCGGCCCTAAAATTGGCTCCGGTCCAATTGGAAGCTCCAGCGAACCGCAGTTCGCCAATTCATCTGCCAGTTCGTTACCTTGGACATCGTAGTATCCTGGCACCCGCACAAGTTCAAGTTCATTCCACATTTTAACGGAGTTCAGCCCCCAGTGCTTTTCAAGGCCTTTAGAGCAGTTTGGCTGTCACTGCAGATCTTCATTTAAGGTCCGCGCCACCTTTCGCCAATTATCCAGTCTGCCACTTTCAGTATTGCAAAGAGTTCCGATTGAAAGGCCGTTGCCCTTGTGCCCAAAGCGGTAAAGTATTTGAAATGACCGTCCAAATGCCAATCAGCTTAAGTACCGTTTTCAGTCTTTGAGCCGTCGGTATAGAAAGTTTTCACCGAGCTTCCCAAGAGAGTTTCTGGATCCCTCCATTGTTCCCTTGTAGAAAATCTAACGACGTACTTTCTTCCAAAGGAGACTACAGGTAACAGGTAATTGCTCTAAAAACCTTCTCAACAACTCTCTGTGCCCAGAACTCCGATCGATCGGTTGAGACCTTCCATTTTTCTCTTCCACGTAAACAAGACTAGGGTTGTCTTGTTGGGATTGACCTGGTGACAGTGCACAAAACATCATGCATTCAAAGTCTTGCAAAATACTTGAAGAAAATGGCTATAATAAGTTTTTTTCCTAACTTAACAATGTTTAGTACACTTTTGTACTAGAAATTCTAATGACTTTCGTTCGGGACGTTTCTCCTTATTTGTAAGAGTATATTTGTATGCACTTCTGGGCAGATAAAAACTACTCATATGGCAATCGAAAAGCAATCTTGAATTCAAAAAAATAATAATTATACCCATTACGTTGCTATTTTCCAAAAGTCTAGCCAGTCGTTCAAGCCGCAAGCTGGCAATTATGCATTTCAGTGGAAGATTCTACAGCAACTCTGTTCGTCGCACATTTAGCGCGAGTTTGACTTGCGCCGAAAATTTCGAAGGCGTTGCGCTGAGCTTTAGGCATAAATTGCTACGCCCCGATGCGCCTTAGTATTTTTAATATTTTTCATTAGCCTCCATATATGTACATATGTATGTGGATATGTGTTTGTGCCATATCTAGTGCAGCAAGTCAAATTCGACAGCTTTCGATCAAAAATTTTTTTAGTCGGTTACGCTACAAAAAATTTCGGTCGCTCAAAAATTTCGCTTAATTATATGTTTGCGAAATCGAGGCCACAAAATGCAGTCGGCCAAAGCTTGAGCATAATATGTGTGTGTACGAGTAAGATTTTTGTATATTTATTTTTTGTATATTTACGAACGCTTGCTTGCCGGCATTTTAATTTTTGGCATTCAATTTTGTTTTATTTTTCATTTTTAGTTAAGTATTTTGCATAATTGCTCCTGCGGCCATTTTTTCGGAAGCTGCTTTTATGTTGTTCATACTTGCATGGTAGGCGGTAACCGAGTTGGCTTTCTTTCAGCACTTCGCTTCGCATTTTTTTCGCAGTGTATGTTTATTTTTATTTTCACATAAAATAAAAAATTCCCTCATTTTGCACCACCTTCTGCAACATTTTACGATCGTATAATTTCAACAAAATACTTCCCGCCATATAAAAATTATGCGCCGCAATGCTGCTTTAGTGCAGATACATAGATATTAATCTGCCTGCCTCATTCCCATGTAAGTTTGTATGTATGCGCGTATGTTTGTATCTTCCTGCTTGCTTGCTTGCTTGCTTGCTCTTGAAATGCCGCTTGCAACCGTTTAAATTCTTGCTTGCCCATTGATCGCCGTATCAAGAAGGCTAGATCAGTCTCGTAGACGCTGTTGGGCATTTTTGATCGCGCTGAGAAGCTTCTGTGCGCTGTCAGCTCACTCACTTGCTTGCCAACCCCCCCCCCCCATCAGTGCAGCATTCATCAGCGTGCATAGCGGTTGCAGCAGTTGGCTTGTATCTCCCATTTCAAGCAGCTACCGTTGCTGATGCTGGATGTGTTAACACAATGTCCAGATTGCAAGCGAGCAGGCATTTTTAATTTTCACCGTTGCTGTGATGGCTTGTACCGTGATTTTAATAAACGTCGCTGAAGGTCAGTTTGGAAGTGTTGTGCATATTTTCGCAATTAAAAAATATTTATATGAAACATATTTAAAAAAAATATATAGCTTCTTCTTCCTTTTATTTATGCTACGTGCATGCGTCTCCCACATTTTTCCGGATCGTCAAAACCGTTAAATCTGCGCGTATTTATGTACATTAGAGTGCATCACAATTCTCGAAAAAAAAAATCTTTACCTTTTTTTCATCGGAAATATAAAATTTATTATATTCTAAGCCTTCCGCCATGTGAGCTGTACCTATTTTAAAATACCTCCAAAAATCCATTTTGTATAAATGAAATTACATTTTTTTTTAAATATTTTTTCTATAAAATTACCTCAGATGATAGAAAAGTTTAAGCTTAAACGGTCTGCATAAAAATCTTTAAAAATGTTGTCAACGGAATCAAAGGATGTAATGCAATTTTTGAATTTATTTCCAAATCGGTCTAACTCACGTAAATCTTAGTATTTTACCGAAATATTTTGATGAAAGTTTTGAAGTTTTAAAATACAATAAATTTTATAATTCCGGTGGAACCCCGTATTTATTTTTTTTTTATTTTTTTTTTTTATGATGCACTCTAATGTACATATGTACATATTTGCTATATGGTACTTACATCGTTAATGTTGATTGAAATTTGTCTCTAACAATTGCAATCAAACTAATCAG